CTTTCATATAGTCTTGAAAATTCTTTTGAATTAGCTCTTGAGGCTGCATGTCTTTGAAAAATTTGCACTCACACGGGCGCTTGGGAGCCTTAATGTCTATTTTTCGTTGAACCGACCCCGAATTTTAAGCTCAAGATCAACAAACTATTTGCTTTGTTTCTTTTACACTTTAGCGGACCCGTGCGTGCCAACGAGACAAAAGAGGTAATTGCGACCTTCCAAGCGGCGGAAAGACCTGGATATCGTAACTTGACGGTCACCTTTAATTCACAAGAGATTACAGGAGTGTCAGGAAATATCTTTTTTTATGTTGAGGAATAGAAAGAGTGCCTTTTGATCGTGCGTCACACAGAAAAAAATTTGACTTTTTATTGCCACGAGTGAAAGCAAGAAATTGAGTCCAGTACAGGTAACCGTCCTCAACACCTTCGTGGGAAAACGCGTGGATGAAAAACGTGATTCGCTAGAATGTTTTAGGTGATAAGGGTGAAACCTTGGTGCGAGCATGTGTCAGACCAAACATAAGGTAGTCACAAAACAAAACCCAGGTTGGTGTTAAAACGGTTTCAAACCTCAATCGAAAACCACCAAGATATAATTGTAAGTGAGATTAACAGTTCTTGTAATTTTCTTGTTTCCTTGTGCGCAAACATACAAATTTTGTTAAAATTATAAAGTTTCTAAACATGAGCATATGTACAAGCAGTCAAGATACATAATTTTTGTTAACGCTCTTGTAAGCGTTTCGATCTCGAGATTGGACGCTCTTCATATTGAGCGACCTTGAATTTTTAACGATTCAAGCTATATCCCAACTTAAAATTATATGACACTTGTCAATGTGACATTAAAGAGCGATATTTTAATACAAGTTGTCTTCTGTGAGTTGTGACTAATTAGTAACACCTTCGACCACGCTTTTGTTTGACTTCGCCTTTAAAAACGCAAAGCATACTCTTCGCACCTTTCAAATTATCTCCGTAAGTTCACCGATACCATTGGAGATGAGGAGCTCATGAGAGTGTAAATGTCGCTCTGTTTTGCGCCATTTTGCGTCTTTTAAAAAATGACAATAATTTTGACCGAAATGCGAGATTCTCCTCTGCGGGTTTCTTTAGTGAATTATGCTTTCAAAGGGACAATTTTTCTGTGCTAGTTGTGCTCTGACGTTTGTTCAAGAGGAGTTTTCAACTGACTTTTTCCAAACCTGGAGTCCAGTTTTAACCGTATAACCTTAATACTAATCATTGCCGTGAAACGAGCTCTGTTTTTCAAAATCTTTTTTTCGATTTAAGTTTTCGTCCCTTTGTTTTCTGTTCCTTGTAATCCGTGCTTTCAGTTCATTACCTCTTCTCCGTTTCATGTTTCACCGTTCGATGTTCCTCCGTTCCATGTTCCACTTCTCCCATTCCTTGTTCTATTTTTCCTGTTTCAGTCAACCGAGGAAAGCACACAATTTGAATAAAGAAACAATAAAACACAAAAGTGAGTACTGATGAACATGAAAATCTCGATAGTGGTTCACACTTGGCTTATGTTAACCTATTCAAATTTGCTTGACAACAGATTTACACCAAAGTCTCCTTTCGTTCAAAAAGAAGAACGCTATAAAAAAATACCAGTCTTTTATGGCTCAACCAGAGGAACAAGCCGGTTGTTTTCGGCTTAGGTACGTATGTTTTTCTGTAGCATTTTCTCTTAAGTTGCTCAGACAAATGAATGAATATCCAGCTTTTTCGCCATTTCTATATATCTATCTCAAATCAAGATTCCTGAATAAACCTCTCGAAGGTTCATACTAACGATCGTTTTTAGACTTGTTTGACAAGTCAAACGTATCCACCTCGATTACGGTGAAATCTACATTTGCGCTATTGAAGATAACAGTATGATTGAGTCGGGAGCCGGGTTTGATTCTCTCAATTAAAAAGAACCGAACATCAACCACACCGTTTTAGTGGCTTTTAAGGACTAAATTGAACGACGGAATAAATGAAATAATGACATCAAACTTAGCGAAAGATAACGTTTGAGTTTTCGGCAAAGGGATTGTTTATTTGCATGATTGTTTATTTACATTTAGCATAGCTTAGCAACATCTTACCGAACCAACTTTGCGTGAAGGACAGATCGTTTTAAGCTCAATCATTTTTTTTCGGTTTTCCCACTGTCATTGGAGTTTAATGAACTACAAAATACTCCGCCAGGATTTGCCAATCTGTTACATGAACTGAAAAGTGCTTTTGGGATTTAAATTAGGGGCTTTTGAAGACAGTAATTGATTAATCCTAACTTGTCTTCGTTGAAGCACTGAACCGAAAACCGAGGGATGATAAGTTCGAATCGTAGGCAACGCAAACAGCTTGGATTTTAAAATTTTGTCTCATTGATTCTGCTTTTTATTTAAATATGCATACAGTGTTATGTTTATCTCCGCGCAAATGATGAGTAGACAGATTCCTTTAACCCTCTTTGCTCGGATGAGAAATGTTCCTTCGCTTTAATCAGTTTCATGTAACAAAATAATGATACTTAAAATACACATCTGAGAATTGTCTTACGAGTAAATAGTCGAATGATAGTTCCCCTATTTAGATTTAGTTTTGCATATCATTTAATCTAACCGCGATTGCTGTTAATATTTCTGTTTGAGACAAGTTTGCGAGTCAACATGACTGACATCTTTCATTCCTAAGACGCACGTTTGTGCTAAATTCATTTTATCCACTGTTCAATAGCCGCCCTTGAAGCGTATCTGTTTAGGAAGATTCAGTTAGGATAGTTTATTGTAGATAGCTCAGTGACTGAATCTTAAAAATTCATTTGTTATGACTGAATTCTTGACAACAGGGATTTATTGGGATTTGCAAAGAAAACTGTAGAAAACTCATTTATCTATATGGGTTGTAGATAAATGAATAAATAATCAGATTATTGAATGGCAAGTCTCTTACAGTGGGCTCAAGCCTTGGTGCTTGGTCTTTAATTCTGGATAGGACTGTAAATAATAGTACACCTCAGGCTACCTTCATTTCATCGATTTTGCACCGAAGCAAGATAAAAAGCGTTGGATGATACCGCGATTGAAAGAAAAAATTTTGCTTCAAGATATTTTACAACGCACGAATGAAAACAACGTTAATGAAATAATCATAATTATGAACATTATCACGATTATAACAACAATAATTTTCATACATCACATTTTAAGCCAAGGCACTCCACGGATCTTACCAAACTGTATTAGAAAAAAGCGAATTCTGCTAAGTTAGGTTATTTTCATGTGTTCTGTTGCGAGAACAATTGAAAAGGACTGGAAATGTTGAAAATAGAGTCTTGATGCGTTCTGGGTGAGCAGTTGTGGCAGTTAGTCAAGTGTGACGCTTTTGTAGTAGCGAGCGGTGTGTGTTTGCGTTACTTAGGATTAGTATTTTTGAGTTGTTTTGCAGATTTCGTAACAACTTTTTGAAAGCCATTGAAAAAGAATCACTTTCAGCTGATACACTGCAGTTCTTTTAACTCACTTTTAGCGTTAAAAAAAGCTTCCACATAATTTCTCAACTCAAGTTTGCATTCTTCTGATTCACTTAAAAATTACAGGAAGAGACGAGGAAAAAGAGTTGAACCTGAAGGAGCCCACAATTTAAGGTACTACACTTTATGGTTTGTTTGTTTGTTTGAACCTAGGGGTAAATGTGATCGTGTAGAGTGATCCCTTAAGTAAGGGTGGTCCTGAAAAGGAGAGTTGACAGAAACTAAAGGAACTTAGCTCTAAAGACAAATGTATATATTTTTTCGACGATTGAACTAACTTGTGACAAGTTTGGTTCGTGAAAACTTATTGGTCCGTTTTTTCGCGATGTTCTCCGCTGTCACACTCAGGTAGCATTTGTCTGTTGCGAAAGGTTATTATTATTTTTTAACACAGCGGTCAAACATAGGGGATGCACAAGGGGTAAAGTTTTACCAGCCGCGTGAAAATTTCTCGGGAAACACTACAAAAAAAACTGAAAAAAAAATTAAAAAAACCTAGGAAACAACAACTACAGGATTACCTTTAAGGTGATTCTGTATAAGGAATACAGGCTTGTAATTGGAGGACATTCCTCATTCATATAAGTAAAAAATTGTTGATGTGAATATCAATTGTCTTTTCTTATCAACTCCTCTCTCACTTTACTATCTTCTTCATCTTTTTGCGGATAGAAACGAACAAAATGGACCCCCGTCAAATGAATCGCAGCCCACGGAGTAAGCTCTGCTTATTATTAGTGGCTTCTGCTCATTGTACAATTTTAATTCGTTAATTGCACAGTAGTCTGTTTCATCTGTTAGTGCATCATTAAACGGTTAGTTTCGCATTGGAGAAGTCTTAAAGGAATAAAAGACACGTCAAACTACAACTAAAGGGCTTAAAAGTTGGTTAAAACGTGCAACGTGCAATCACTGAATCATTTAACCCTTAGGAGTGATTTGCATCTAATTTATCTCACACCTGCATTACACATTATGATGAATAAAGGAAATTATCACCCACTAAAGAATTAACTCTTGATTGTTAAACAAATTCACCTTTCCAACACCTTAGGAAATGCAGAGAGAACAGTATAGAGAATATGCATACTTATTTTAGGATGTAAAGGGTTAAAAAAA